TGGCTGATGAATTTTTGTGCTTGTGATTCACTAATACCACATACATATATGGTGTCTTGTCGGCATGACTTGGCAGTTGTCCGCGGCTGGTGTTGGCCTGCGCGGCTTCCTATGCGTGCGCGGTTGAAGAAGCAAGAAAGCTTGTCTACTTTGTGACTTTGTCGCACAGCTGGAGTAATAAGTGTTTCACTACCAAACTAAAAAAGAGTAGGAAATGCAATTTGGAATAAATGTACGGTTAATTTTCAGTGATCTGGAAAGAGAGGTGGTTTGGTTGGCAAACTCAAGAGATTTTTGTTTGATGGCTTGAAAATGGTGGATCATATTTGTTTTTGTTTGCCAGCAACCAAACGGTGCCATCCATCATATTGTTGTGCTCCTCCTGCAGATGCCATGACATCCATCATCAGAGTGTGCAGATCGAGTTGTACACAGGTTTAGAGAGAAGTACCATATGCGATGCGATGCATGCGGTGTGGTGGAGCTCCTCAAGAGTGTAGCAACGAAGAGAAGAGGCCAGCCACAGCCACATCCACAGTATATCATCCATCCATCCATGGGACCTTTCTTGCTCCTTCCAAAATACGTACTGGATAGATACTACTACTACTACTAGAGAAACCAGCTGAGATACTAGTATCATTCTTCCCCCGATCTGATTTTGTTAATTAAGCTAAGCCATGCAATTTAGTACAAGTCTGCATGCATGTAGAGAGACTAACTCCCCCACGGTGTAATCTCTCCCTCTATACGATGCGTTATTTGAGGGACGAGTGCTCCTGATTTCTAGGAAATTTACTACGTCCCATAACTTCACTAGAGAAATCAAAGGGCTTTCCACCTTGAAATCAGGCGCAGCTTCCTTCAATCCTCTCCCAAACCAAAACCAACGCATGTAGCCGCGCCTCCTCCTCCTCCTTCATTACTTCGTCCATGACATCGATCCAGGTCCCTCTCGTTTCCATCCTGCTTGGTCTGCCTCCATCTCATCCATCCACGCAGACTCACGCGGATCCCTCTCCCATCCAAGGCTTCCACGCGTCTGCCGCCCACTCGATGATGCCCATGCCCCTCCCTCTACAAATAGCTCCCCCCGTTCCTCCATGATGTTCCTTTCCGTTGCATCCAACAACTCACCTCGTCTTCTACACAAGTAGCGCAGCAAGTCTGATCGGCCGCGGCCGCCTAGAACTCATCCGTCCTCTCTTATTATGTAAGAGCACACAGGCTGCCCCCGTCTAGAACTTCTGTAAGAGCATGCCTTTTCTCATCGATCTAACATTCTTTATTGAAATCTTGGCATGGTGCCATTCAGATTGATACCTTTTTCTTTTTGACCTGTTGGTGATGCAGTGATGCAACCACGTATTGACATGGACACAGAGGTGCGGGCAGGAAGTCGTCGAACAAGAGAGCGTGCACCATCACGCGAGTTGGTTCAATCAAAGTTTAGTGCAAAAACTATAGATGCATTGACATCCGGTCTATAATTCCTTCTTTCCTTCCTTCCTTTCATGTGTAAACATGCTTCACCATTTTTGCATCTCTTGAATTTGAAGTCAGAACAGTGTGAAAAGTACCTTATCTGAACATGTATCTGTCAAATCCTATATAGTTAGCAAGCCACCTACAGGCTGCTAGGAGCATGCATTTCTGATTGACCACATAACCTAGCTCTCTAATGACATGTCAAAGTTAATTAGTTGGTACTAGTACGATTCATACAAGTGTTGTATGCTATGGTAATGATATGCTAGCAGTACTACAATGGAACGGGAGTAGCTTCTCTTCACGCACCTAATAATTAGTTAGTATTCAAGAGCTACTTAACTCTGAAACTCTAAATGATCGACACTCCAACAAAATCAATAAACGTTGATGTCCAGGAGGATTGATTATGTGTTTGTTTTACGACATCTTGACTGGATGTGTTAAGTATTTGCTGGAGGCAGGTGCAAACCCAAATCGTCCACTTTGTCATATGTTTTCCATAACATAGTTCTGATGTGTTTCATTTATAGTTCATGTATTTTGTGGAAAATATGCATGGCACCAGAATTCTATATGTAACAGTAAACGAAGGTGAAAGCCAAGTATAGTTTTGAAAAAACAAATTGCTTGAGTTTTAAAGCTTTCTGGGCATTTATTGAATGCGGCCGTGTTGAATTAAGCAGGCATACTATATGTTTGCCAGTCCGTGTGGCATGATTAGCTTCACTGCTATCAGTTTCCTTTTAACACAAGCATGTTAATGTTTTACGTAGGGAGAAAAAGCCTGTTAATTAATGTTTTCTTCTTCATTTTTCATCTAGAAGTTGCCATGATAAACAAAGATATTAATGCCATCAAAGTTTCTGCACTATTACGTACATATATAGGCCTTGCTTGGAGACGTGGAATACATGTGTGGCTCTATTGAGCAGAAAGAAACGTAGAAGATGACTCGGTAGCATGTAGGTGGTGTGCTGCATTAATCTGGAACCATGCACGTAGGAGTGCTGCATCTTATAGTTTGTCATGTATTTATCCTACATGCATGCATGTGAACTGAAGTTCCATTTTGCATCTTTATTTCGCTAACTCTATTGAGAGAATTTGCTACTATATATTGTAGTCTCAACCGGTGTATTAAAACAATTGCTGCTTGTTTGATCCTTATGGTGGCAAGACGCTCGTGACGAGGAGCTGGTGTTGGCTCCGCCTAGCCTAGGTGACGGGCCGAAGGCTTTGAAGGATGCAATCAGATGGTAGAGAGCAGGTTCTTGGAGTGGGTGGAGGACAGGCCGGTATGATGATGAAGGTGCATTCTTTGTATTACTTGCATTCTGGTATTTGCGTTCATTTGCTTTGCCGTCGTCGTTCTTGTGTGAATCGTCTCTCTCTCTCTCTCTCTCTCTCGGGAGAAACAAGTTAAGTTGCTGGCCCATGGTAGACAGGGCATGGGCAATGGGCCTGAAACGCACGATAGGCAGTGGACGTTGTTGGATGTTCACGGCGAGGTAGATTCTTCCCGACAACGCGTTATGCTGTCGAAATTTCCGGTGAATGTGAGTAAATTAGCATGAGACAATATTGCAACAATCTATACGTTTTCCTAACTTTTATATAATGGGGATTCCTTCACTTATAGAATATTTACAATACCAAATAGTATAGTGTCCATGGCTTTAAAAAGAATGGAGTTGACTAGTGGCGAATGTGTAAAATTCTGTAAGCCTTACGTTGGACATATGTCACAATGCAAGTTGTGTAATAGGTGTGACAACATGGATAAACATTAACGTTATTCTTCTGCGGTCATTAGATGGAACCAGACCTAATTAACTTTTATGTATTAGGAGATAATTATGTATTGAATGGTTTGCATCTTCTCACCCCTTAAGAACAAACACATGCAACCAAACAACATTGCCCTAAAGTGGGCACTGATGCAATGCAGTCAACCAAACAACATGCATGCATATGTTGGTTTGTTGCATGTTTTTGCCTCTGGTGAGATGTGGCTGAAATGCGGGCAAGTTTCACTCTAGGCAACCAAACACGCCCATGGAGAAATGCAGATGAACTGAAGGGAGGGGCAAAAAGGGTAACTAACTAAGAATAACAAGACAGTCCTATCTATGTGCACCACTCACTTCAGGGGAGGGCATCAGATTCAGATCTGATCTGAAGCAAAGCAAAGCCAACCAAAAGAGGACGGAGGGTTGGGGCGAAGCCAATTCCTTCCTTGATCGGTTGCCACATACTCTTCCAACCCACTCTAGTAGGAGTACTCCTACTACATAACCACCCATCTGTCTCCCTCTCCTCTCCCCTCCCACACAACAACACAAGCAAGAAAGGAAGGCCGCCGCCGCCGCAGCCACGATGAGCTCCTCATCCAAGCTCTTCCAGTCCGCCTGCAAGGCCGCCAGGTCCTTCCTCGCCTCCTCCCCCGCCGCCGCCCCACGGGCCTCCTCCGTCCTCGCAGGTCAGTCTGTCACTCCCAGATCGAATCCAATCCAATCGGATCGAATCAACCACCATTCCATACGATCCAGATCAGATCAGGTCAGGTCATGTCAGATTTGGTCAGATCAGGGATTCATCCAAATTTCCATTCCGATTGCGTTGCATTGCAGACGGGAGGAACGCCGCGCTCGCCACCCTCGCCAACCTCGGCCGGAACTCCACCCTCCCCGCCGCATACGCCCACCACACCTCATCCTCAACGATTCTGATTGTGTTGTCAGTAGGAGTAGCGCCAACTACATTGGGTGGGGGCAATGGAAATAGGGGTGGCTATCCTCAACGAGAGTTGCCGCCATCATCTTTAGGGGCTCATGAACATCGCACGGGTAACTATGTGCTCATTTGCACCAGCGGCATTGGAGGTCACAGTGAAGAAACACCAGAATAGGAGATGTTACGGTTCTAGGGGAACAAAGGGGATGGGAGGAGCCAATGGAGAAGAGAATGGTGGGAGGACTGCAAAGAAGTGGGCAAAGATGTGCCGGGGAGAAGAAGCCGGAGGGGGTGTTATTGTGTTGCGTTTACAATCACATGATCTTAGATAATAAGAGCTAAAGCCATGAATAGTGTCCCTACCCGAAGGTGCACACAACCAGCCCGTTTTAACTGGTGATAAGTGGGACGCG